AGATTTAAGAATGAAATAAATATATATGAAGTATCTTACCTTGATTAATAATTTTCATCTGAATTCTTATTATAACACATCAGTATACTTATAGAACGTATACTATGAATCGAGGCAAATCTGATTGTGACAAATGTTGGCCAAACTAAACAAAAGCACATGCATTAATCGGAAGTAACAAAGCCGTTAAAGAGAAAATCGGTAAATACAAATAACATATCATAAATGAGAAAAAATAGCAGAAAGGTAAAAAAAAAAAGAAAAAAAGAACAAATATTGATTGAATTGGAAGATTTTTGGTACCTCGAACGTGACATTTATAGATAGTTCAATCAAAATCTTAAAAAAAATAAATATTAGAAAAATTTACTATTGAGAAGATTACATACGCTATCTATCGTACTTCATGAATCCATGAAAATTTTATAGAAGTAAAATATTATCTTCGTTAAAGGAAACAACACATTTTTACAATTTCAAAAATCATGCGGAATTTTTCATACTGTCATAGAAATAATTTATTATAATGAAAAATCTTCGATGTCTAATTATCTTCCACATGTTGTAGGACAGTGCACAAATGATGTTGATTATATTATTTTCCATTTATTACGTATTCAAGTCATAAATCGTCTGCGTCATTTTGAGTCCTCTTAGAATTAACATAGAAGTACTATTTACTTCTATTTATTAGAACAAACGAATACATTATTCAGGAAGTTAACTGTTTGGTAAAAATAACAACACTACAACAAGGGAAAACTAGCAGACTTCAAGGTTTATAAAAACAAATCATTATATATTCTACTATTTTCTATTCAAAATATCTGACGATTGACATTCTAACTTTATTAAGAAATACATTTTTAATGACCAGTTCGATTCGAAATAGACTGATGTTCAAAAACAATATACATAATCAATGTGACAAATCACACTTGGTTTTTTTTTGTATGGAAATTCTTATTATATATATATATATATATTAAGTAAATAATAATCTGCTTTTATATCCTAATGCCAATCAATTTGGTAGAAAAATATTCAACATGTCAACTGTTTAATTGTGTTGTATTTTTATTATTGCTAGCATTGATTTGAAAGGCAAGCTGCAGGAAATAAGAAAAAAAAAAGTAATTATAAGGCATGTTTAGAAAATATGTCAAAAATATAAACAAAAAATAGAAAAAGAAATACATTTTGATATTTATCGTATAAAGAGTGTTCACTACATTTTGACTCACTTAATCAATAAATTTATTGACTCAGTGAGTCAAAATTTAATGAACACCCTTTATGTCACAATAAAGATTGAACTGTTCAATGTCATATAATGGCATTTACTATTCTAGAGAAAAAATTAATAAATATGAAAATTTTGAAAGAAACATTTGATTTAGATATTTAAAGAATATTTTTATTTCTTTGATTGATAATACATGTCAAATTTTCTTAAAGAAAAAAAACATGAAAAATTTTATTAGGTTTCATAATTACGATAATAATCAAATCATTTTCGAAAGAAAATTCTACATATAAAAAAAATGACAGTATTAATCGTATAAAATTGAATTTTAGTTATCTAATAAGAACAAATAAAACTACTATTTTAATATTGTCATTGCTAAAAACTAAAAACAAGGGTTACTTGATGAATGAAGTGTATATAAATGATGAAGAATCCAGGCAAGAAGTCATGACTTATAAATGTATCTGACATGAATAGTTTTCTTATGTGCTTTATCAATTCTATTGTTAGTAACTTATTTGAGAAAACTAATTGAATGACGAAAGTTGGAATTCTTTGAAGCTAAAACTGTTTGATATTTTTATGTTGCTACATATTCGACCTATAAGAACAATTAATGATGAAAATACATTGAAAGCAATTAATATTCAAACTCGTTTTTTGTTTGATTACTAAAACCTAGTCATTATGATTATGTATTAAGATAAGCCAAATTATGTCATGTTACTTACTGTTTTTTATAGGAATTAGACAATCTTTTGTTCGGTTAATAGATACAATTGATAGTGTGTCTTTTGAGGAAGATGCTGACTTATGGAAAGAATTGAGAAATCGATTCTTCTCTCCTTCCCGAAAAAAATTTCCATAATTAAGTTGCAAGATTGTTGTTCTTTGAACATTTGAAGACCGTTCTTTTACTATATATCTCTTTGAATAAATATTTGTGTCAATCAATTACTATGAACCAAGTATTTGCTTTCGCTCTTTGTCTGTAATAATTATTGTCAAATGTATATATAAATTATATATATTTGATTATGATTATTGTATTCTATTTTGTAACCCATGTATATCTTCTATGAATCAAAATTGTAACATGACTAATAATGAATGTACACGGCCATGATGATGATGATACTGAATTATACTGTTCAAATAAACTAACTATGCAAGGTTTTTATTACTAAATCAACGATTGAATTAGACTAGAAATTCCATGATCATATGATATTATTTCAAAAGTCAAAACAAAATGAATATAAATTACTAATGTATGAACATTCATTGCTAGAGAAATATTTGGAAATGTATCAAGGCATTTTTCTGTCAATATTGTTTTTTTTTGTTTTTCAAGACAAGGAGAAAACAAACTTCCTGACCAATTTTTTAATAAACCATTGCAATCATTAAAAAATTCTATTGATTATTTGTCAGTTTATCATGAACTCTTCTTTTCTCAAACACTTAAATATATTAATCATTCTTTTCATTTGTAGGATATCTTAAGTCACGATTCAAATATTTGTCAGATTAGTGTCAATTCTGACATGATTCGCTTCTAAATTGATTTTAACAAAATTAATGGTGACAGATAAAACTCGACGAGTTGTATGGATTCCACACTTCATTTGTCAAATTACAGTGTATCATCAATGGGTTTACTGACTGCACTGTGTGAATATTTTTATTATAACTACGTAGTTGATCAAGATTTATATATTTTCAAGATCAGATAGACCTTAATAATATTTGTACAAAATATTAATAAATAATACTCTGCTAATTAATTGTGATACAGGATTATAATTATCCCTCAAGTAGATAACACTACTTAATGATACTAACAGAATAGAGAAAACAAAGATGATTAAGACGAATATAAGATATAACCATGTTATACGTTAAGCGTAAATTGTCTATGAAAAAATCTTTTTCAATTAACTCGGTTATAAAACAACATGAAAAAGTGCATTCGTGGATTTGTTATAGAAATCATACGATGAATCATCCATATCAACTAGTAGATCAAATGAAAATGAGAGAAAACGATTAATTAATTAATACTTTTTTATGTATAGTATCTAGACAGAGAAAAAAAATTATTGACTCATATGTTTTATTCAAGAAGTATAAGAGAATGAAAGGCAGTACACATTAATATGTGATAAACAGAGATTAACAAAAGAAATAGTTGATATTAATATTTATTTAAGAAGATAGTCTTGTATTGTGAAAAGATTACGTAACAAGAAAGAAGGGATGAAGTCTTTTTTTTTTTTGATGAAATAGATTAATGTTTATTTTGAATAAAGGACCCCGCCGGATAAGAGTCAAAATCTGCCACCCTACAGAATTTAATCGAACTTATATATTCTGAAAGACCATTTTTTGACGCACATTTCCGCCTATTTTCTTTTGCCAAAAGGTCTAATTAGAGGCTGGCAAGAAATAGTTTTTTGAATGCTCCTAATATTCATTAAACTATCTTATATCACACTTCGGTCCATTACCAAAACATTTCGTTTTTCGTTTTTAAAATTTTGCTTCGAAGTTTATTGAATAGTGCCAATAGATTCGCCAAAATGTGCTCTACAAAATGGTATAAATTTATCAATTTTAAATTATTCTTGCTAAGAGTCATCAGACATATATATATAAGATAATAGAAGAAAATTCACGATTATATGAGTATTTTCACAATATTTACTTCAAGTTTTATGTTGATTTTTCTATTAACATCCATTATGACAAAAATGGGATTATTATAGAAAAACTTCCTCGTGATTTGCTCTACAAAATGGTATAATTTTAACTAAAAAATAAATAGTCCCAAAATAGAATATTCGATGATTACATTTAAACATGGCCATTATTTTATATGTATACCAATACTTCTTTTAAATCAATATTAGATTTTATTTTAGTTATTCTAGTTCATATCCTAGAATTGATATTAGATTTATATTTAATAAGTAAAATGATGTTCATTAGGACTCTGTGCAGTAATTCTATATATGT